TATCCGCCATCAAGCCTCAGATGATGCCGGCTGCCTGGGGTTTGGAAAGCAAGGCAAGGCTTGGCGCTCTCTGCAGGGGGACTCTTCTGGGGCCGTGCGTCTTCTCTTGGAGGTGGCATCTTCTCTTGGGGCATGTGGCGCTGTTCTTTGGTGGGGAAGGAGGCCCATGGAGGGTTTGAAAAGGGGGGATAGATGGGAGCCGGTGCAGGGAACTCAGCAGATGCTCGGCAGGTGCCTATGGAGCGGTTCCAGAGGAAGGTGCTCTTGCCTGTGGGCTGTGCATGTCCACCATGCTGTGGAGGGGGCATCTGAGTGACCCTGTCAGCAGAGAGCTGCAATGTGAGTCCTCGGTTTCCTTGCAGGGTCCACAACGGCGGGCGAGCTGGCCTGACCTCCTGGCACTGGAGCTGTGCTGGCCTGGCTCCTTCTCCCTGAGGCCTGGAGCATCCCTCAGTCTCTCAGAGGGGCTTGATCGGGTGGTCTTCTTACCGCCTGCCAGGCGTCTGAGCTAAGCCCCTCTCCACACCGGGGGTATGCACAGTTTTGCCCTAAAAGGTAGTAGTTGATATTTCCCACCCTGTAGGCCTTCCATTCGCTCAGCTGCTCTCTCTGCTGTCATGGCGGGAAAGCAGCCATAGAGGACACAGGAACGAGTTGGCACAGCTTACTGGCACTGGCGCACCAGTAAAGCTTGATTTACCAAAGCAGGCAGCCCTGCTCTTGGTCACTGCCCTGGCGGCCACGGAGGGTGGGGCCCCTGCTACCCCTGTGGGGGTTTGCTGGGGCTGCCATAACAAAGTACTGCAGACTGGGTGGCTTGAACAGCAGAAACTTGTTTCCTTATGGTTCTGGAGGCTGGAAGTCCCAGATCAAGGTGCTGGCAGGGTTGGTATCTCCTGAGGTCTCTGTCCGTGGCTTGTAGCTGGCTGTCTTCACATGGTCTTCCCTCTGCACGTCTGTGTCCTACTCCCCTTTTCTTATAAGATCCCCCGTCCTATTGGATCTTGGGCCCACCTATAGGATCTCATTTTTACTTTGTAATACAGCCACATTCTGAGGTGCTGGGGGTGAGGACCCCAATGTGATAAATTTTGGGGGGACACACTACAGCCCATAACAACCCCTTTTTATGGATTAGGAAACGAGGCCGAGAGAACAAGGCTGAGCAGGGTGGTTGCTGTGTTCCTTACCGCCTTCTGGGGGTATGCCTGGCCTGCCCCCCTCCCACATCCTGCCCCACGGCTGGGCTGGAAGAGCTGAACACAGGCACTAGGGGACGGGAGTGTCACGAGGGCTTTCCTTGAGAAGGTGGCCGCGTTTGAGTTGGGAGTGCATTCTGGGCAGAGGGACCGGCCAGGAAGAAGCCCTGAGTTTGGGGGTTCCAGGGAAGGAGGGCTGTTGGAGGTGAGGGAAGAGTTTGGCATGGGCTGTAGGGGCCTTCTGGATTCACCAGGAGAGATGTGTGGGCCCCAGGCAGGGCTGGGGCATGGTGGAGTGTGCCTGTTAGAAGGCTTCATTCAACAGAGGGCTTAAGCCGGGGCCCTGCTGTAGGCAGGGGGACGCAGCCTCGTGGAGCTCACGTTCTGTTGAGAAAGTAAGTGACAGAATGACAGAGTGTGACCAGGGCTGCAGAGGTGGTAGACAGGCGTCTGAGCCAGAGGTGGGGGGCGGCCTCTGAGTGCGTGGTGCCCACAGGAGGAAGGGCAATCCAGACAGGGCCAGGAGGCGCGAAGGCCCAAGCGGGGCAGGGGCAGGATGGAGGCTGAGGGTGTTTCTAGGGCAGTGGGGCGCTGTCGGGAGATCTCAGCAATGTCGGAATCAGCTGTGTTAGAAGGCCACTTGGCTGGGTGGGGACAGCCCATGGGGCGGGAAGCTGCATGTCAGCGGCCAGCAGGGAAAGGGGTTCCCGGGGCCGCAGGAGAGATGAGGGACACTTGCCTGGGGCAGGGGCTGCAGAGAGAGAGAGTGACTCGTGGTGATGCGGGCACATGGACTGGAGCACACTGGCCCCACACCCCCTCCCCCTCCTCCCTGAGGTGTCCCTGAGGCACGCCTGGCCCCCACTGCTCCCAGGTGGATAGCCTGGACTCGACAAGCTGCTGGGCAGGCCTCACCTCACACCTCCCACCAGCACTGCCTGCCTCTCAGTGAAGAGACCAGAGGTGGGGCCACAGTTCTGGGAGCCAGGGAGGCCTTGGCTGCCCCGTTGCCTCATGCTCAGACCAGGGAGGAGGCCAGCTGGGCGAGGGGGCCTTGGGGAGGCAGTTCTTCAAGGCCAGCAGAGCAAGCCAGCGAAGCTGTGGCCCGCACCCACACCCCCGCTCTCCCCAGCCCAGGGGAGGTCTGGGAAGAGGAGAGAGAGCTGCTGGCAGGGAGGACAGCTCAGGGAGCATTTGGTGCTAGAGGGGCAACCTGAGGATCTGGGATCTGTCATGAATAGGAGAGGAGGGACCAAAGGTAAGGCTCTTCCAGTACAGAAGATGGGGTGTGGGGACCACCCCAGTCCTTCACTTTGAGAAGTCAGTTGTTGTGGGAGAGAGAGGTCCTCATTCCTGCTGTGCAGTGGACTCAGCGCTGCCCTTCTGTCCCGAGCCGATGTGGCACACCCTGGGGCTTTGGCAGAGGTTTTCCGTGGGGGCCCCTTCCATCTCACAGGCCCCTTGCTTACTGGGCCTCGCGGCTGACTGTGCATTGGTTCGAGGCCACAAGGAGAGGCCGACAGATGCCCCAGCTTGTGCCCGCCTCCCTCCACCCTTCTTGGTAGCTGTGAGTCGCATCGGTTCCTGGGGCGGGCAGTGTGACCGAGACAGGCCGAAGTGGGCATGCCCTCCAGCCTGCAGTTCCATCTCCAGAAACGTCTCACAGATTGATGCACACACGTGCACAGGGGTATTGCTTGTGACAGTGACAGCCTGGACTCCCTTGCCATGGCCATGGGTCGGCGCGAGAGTCCAGTGAAGCCGAGGCCAAGGGCACTCGACTCTGACCATGGGAGGATGAAAAAGCCAGGCACCAGGCTGCTTGTGTCTCCAAGTCCTTCTGTGCAAACCGCAGGGAGCCAGGGTCTGTGTTTCCTTGAACACGCAGAAGGAAACCGGCAGTAGTTATGAGGGCAGGGGCGGGTTGGGTCCTCTAGGTTCCAGCGATGGGTGGGGCGTGCACTGGCAGCACCTGGCCGCCCCAGACGTTCTGATTCAGTGGGGATGGGCGTGGGGATTTCACCATGCTCCTGGTGGGCCCCGACCTGGTCTCTTCTCTGTCCACTCTCCCACTCCGGGACCACGTCACCAGTGACTTGCGTTCCTCAGGCCACTGCCCTGCGGCCTCCCACCATGGGGGACGCTGAGACGGAGCTGCGGCAGCATTTGTACCTTATGGCCGCCCGGCTGCTGGGTCCAGCGACAAGTAAATAAACCTGCATGTCCAGGCGAGGGGCTGCAGGCCAGGTTCCCACCGGCCTGCACATGCGCTGAGCACCCACTGTGCATGGACACTGTGGTGCAGGACACTGGGGTGGCCTCAGAGTGGGGCAGACCTGTGTTGTCCTCCCAAGGTGCACTGTCGTGCATCGGTCACCTCATCTGACCTTCTCCTCTTCCTCACTTCACAGATAGGAAACCGAGGCGAGCTGGGGCCAAGGCGCTGGTCCTTGTCAAGGTCCCAGAGCTGAAAGTGGCATAGGCAGGCTGTGGCCCCAGAGCCCTTAGAGACCCCTTGGGGCCCTCAGCAGTGTGGCCTGGGAAGTGGCATCAGAGAGGATGGTTCTGTAGCTGGGCGTCGGGGTGGACTGACGGGCGGGTGGGCAGGTCTCCCACTGCAGGTGGCATGGCAGAGGCCGGTTGGGGAGGAAGGAAGGTGTCTGAGCTCAAGGGCTGCAGGGGGGCAAGTGTGGCTCGGGGGCGGGGGCATTCTCTGGACATGCAGCTAGATGTGCAAGGTCATCCATGGAAGGTGGCCCTCGGCTTTTGGGTTCTTTTCCCACATTAGCTTTGACATTGTGTGAGTAAATGTGGGCAGCTCGGTTAACAAACTGGAATCGTGTTGTCTCCTCAAGACTATGGTCTGGGGCCAGGACACAGCGCTGCTTGGGCCAAAATGCACATCTGGCCCCTGGGTACACCTCTGCCAGGCGTTGGGCAAATGAGTGGCATCAGGCAGGAGCCTGGCTTGCAAAACTGGCAGATCCTGGAGGCTCATCAAATGGGGCCGCCATTGCTAAGCAGACCTGGTGAGCCTCTGGTTCTTAGTGGAATATTCTGGCACGTTGGCAGGACTTGTTGGGATAAGCCATCTGCCCTCAGGCCACACCCCCAAGCGCAGTCTCACGTGCAGCGGTTCCCTCTGATTTTAAACACCTCTCTTCGCGTCCCTGTCGAGATCTGCCTCGCTGGGCATCCGAGAGCCACCCTCAGCGAGACCCAGAAAGGCCCAAACCCTGCCCCTTGGAGCCGCCAGCACCAAAGGGACAGAGCGGGAGCTGGAAACGAATTTCATCCCCAGGACGGCGAGGGGGCTTGTCTGGTGAGCTGCCTCCAGACCCTGATGACTAACATGGCTAACAGCACCCCACGGTGTGACACTAACCCCCCTCTTTGATTGTTGGAAGCTTGCAGTGTATTTTTCTGCTCAGCCATGATTATTTTTTCGCTCGTTGTAACAGTAAACATTGCCATGCTAACGGGACTCACTTGAACCCCTGTGTGTGAACTTTTTACAGTTCGATGTTCCAGCGTGTGGGGTGCGGAGGGGAGGGCCCTCTGAAGTGGTTGTCTGGTATCGCTCACACACCGTGAAGCCTCTGGGGTAGAGCAAGAGGGAAGCCTAGGTCCATCCTAATTCCGCGGGTCCCTCCCACAAGTGGCTTTCCGGCTCTTTCCCGAGAGGGGAGAGGGTTTACCTGTGAGCGCGCCCCAGCCTCCTTACTCAGGACTCTGTTCTGTCCGTGGTCAGTAACTTGCATTTCTTTTTTTTCTCCTTTTTTTTTCTCCTAAACTTTCTAGGAAAAAGTACACCTATAAGCCAGCTTGGTTCTGCAGACTTCCCCGAGCCCCCCGACCCATTCCAGCCACTCGGGGCTGACAGCAGTGACCCGTTCCAAAATAAAAAGGGGTTTGGGGACCCGTTTAGTGGAAAAGATCCATTTGCTCCCTCCTCTTCAGCTAAACCTTCTAAAGCCTCTTCCCTGGGCTTTGCAGACTTCGCCTCTGTAAGTTGAGTTCTCCGCCTCCGCGCCGCCCCCTCTGCTTGCAGCTCCTCTGGGGTTATTTATTTTGTCTCTTTCAAACGACACACCTCCTCCTGGCTTCTGTCCCCCACACCTCACGCCATCACTCATGTTATTTATTCTGTACTACTGCTTTCTGTAAGAAAAACAGTTTCTCCATAACCAAGAGCTCTGGTTTGGATCCTCTGTGATCAGGGCGCGTTCCTCCAGCAGGTTGCCCTGCACGCTGTTCTGTCCTGCACGGTGGACTCTGTATTATCTCTGTTGTCCAGAGGCTGTTGTGTTTGTTGATTTTTGGAAGCCGAGATGTCAAACGCTTCTGAAGTAAGAAAACGAGATCGCAAAAGCTACATCAGGGTTTTGCTGTCCCCAAAAATGTCTCTGTGCAAGAGTTCTTTCTGATGGCGCCACCCCAGTGCATTTTGTGCAAGCAAATACAAATCGAAGGACCCGGGAGGGGTGCTCAAAGAAGGAGCAATTTCATTTTTTAAAACTTTTATTTCAATTACCAGCTATGATGAAAAGAGAAATCCAACCTAGAACAAGTGCTCTGAAGCCCTTTCCTTTTGCAAAAAAAACAAAAACAAAAACAAAAAAACACAACCTCTAAAAGCCAGTTAGCAAAGTTAAGTGCCTGTTTGAAAGTCTGGCTTTGTTTCTTGGTGTGAAAACAGATCCCAGATTGTGAACGCTGCCACTTTAGGGTGTTTTCAGTCCCCTTGTCAGTACCCAAAAATCTTGTTCTCAGAGAGCCTCAGATGCTGTCTTCCCAGAACTGGTGTCACTGTTTGTGGTGCATGCGTGTTTTGAAAAAGGTTTTCTTCATTCAAATTTGCAAAGTTCCTTGTTTCCTGGTTAGGTGTGAGATTCATTGTTTATAGATATTTTGATTCCTAGAATATCCTTCTTGAAACAGGCTCTGCCGTCTCAGTGCCCAGCGAACGCCCGGTTCATTTCAGATGCACCCCATCACCGCGATCCTGGGGCTTACTGAAGTCGCCCCGGACGCTGAGGCGGACCCGGCTTGTGGCGTCCTGTAAATGTTTTATGACCGCAGTTAGTGTGTTCGTGGACAGCCAGTGCACCCAGTGGATGTGTACAAATGGCAACATTGTTAATAAAAGCCAGGAACAATACCCACTTTATCTACAAGTGGTTGAAAAGCACTGCATTTATCTTTTGGTGGGAAAAAATATTAAGTGCTGATGAAAAAATAGAGCTATTCACGCATGACTCAGGGACTCTGTTTTGGGTAGAGAAGAGGGGTAAGTGGATTTAAACGGCAATTTGAAGAAATGACTGTTCTATTTCTGAAATGCATAGTTCTATTTCCTGTCACACCCCCCTCCGCTCCTCCTCCTTCCGACAGCTGGGTTTTGGAAAACCTTTTTTTTTTTTTTTTTTTAAAAACACCCAAAGTTTCAAGCTATCGTTTGGCCCAGCATTTTTGGTTGTTCCAGAACAGTTGTTAACTTTGATTTTAAAACACCCCTGGTATTTAATCACCCCACTTCCAGGCGGGGAATTGGATTCTGCCCACTCGAGTTTGCAGCCCTGCTGGTTTCTGTTTCAGATCACCTTTCCCACCTCGGATGCCCCAGTTTTTCCTGAGGAAATCGCCTGACAGTGAGGTTCAGCCCACTCTGATGAGATGGGGTGTGGGAGAGGCAGAATACCTACTGGTTTGGTTTGTCCCCCTTGGTCATACCACAGTCCGAAAAAAAAAGCATAGGTTCAAAGCCGTCCCACCTCCAGGGACTCGGGATGACTTTGCATTTTCATGGCGTCCGGGAAAATCAGCCCACCAGCTGGTGGTTTCTGGGTCCACTGGACCTCGAAGATTTGTGCTAACTCAAAGCAGGCCAAGTCGGTTCCTGGGTCTCTGGATTTTGGCGTCCCCAGGAACCGCTGAGACGTCCCTTACTGCCGCGGATGGCAGCGTGGCCCTCTCAGATCGGATGTTCCGACAGGGCCACCAAGACCTGTTGTTAGCCATTCAAAGCAGCTTGGTCCGTGTTGTTCTGGGAAATCGAGGTCACACGTGCATGCTGCATGCGGTCCCCCCACTGGCACCCCGGCTCCCCCGCTCTGGAACCTTCTAATTTACGAGCCCTGAGTTTCCATCAATTGGTTACTTGTACTTAGAGCTGTTCACATGAAACCTCTCAGGTATTTCTTTAAAAACAAGCCTTTCTGTCTTTGGCAAATGCATTTATTAGGAAGTAGCGTTTGTAGGTCAGCAAACAGCTCTCTTTTTCGGAAGTCTGCATTAACAGCAGAGCAGAATCAGATGGGATAAGCCGAGCTTTGTGTTGCTGAATGAGTTGGATGCGATTTCAACCTCAGAATAAGTGAGTTAACAGGCAGTAGATAGGAGTCTGCCCACGAGTGACGCAGTGGAGGTGTATTGGACGCCTCGGGGCGCAGTGTCACCGCAGTGAGGAAAGGCGCCCGGGGCCTCGTGTGCGGGGTGGATGAAGCTCGGATTTCTGCTGCGAGATGCTGAAATAAAACTGCCTAGCGTGCACCCTGAGCAGGCCGGCCTCGGCACGGGAGATGCCCTGGCAGGGCAGCAGCTTGTGCCCTGTGGGGTCTCAGTTCCAGATGGTACGAGAGGGAAGCAGAGATCAGAGCTGCTCTCCCCTGGACAGCTGCCACACCATGGTGGTCCAGATGCCAGCCCGCGTGGGACACTTCCAGCTCAGAGGATTAGAGTGTGGCCCAGTCCAGGTGTCTCCACTAGGGCCAGAACAGGATTGTCTGCTGATTCAAGACACATAGGGAGCCACAGAGAACAGCCCCGTCCTCCAGTCCTCTCGGACATCACAGTCCCACGTGCTTCTCCAGGGCATGCACCATCCTGAGCCTGGACCCTAAGCTGGCCTTGGACCAGCCCACTCCAGAGGCATCTGGAACATTCCTGTCAGCCTGTTTAATTTGAAAACAGTGACCCCTTGAACAGGAGGCTCTGCAGTGACATCCCAGGACACACAGCCTGAGCAGTCACTGTGGTGTGGGCCCAGCCTGCCGGTACGTGGCCTCAGCCGATCGCTTGACCCCTCCAGGCCTCGGTTCCAGACTTTGGTCTGGGTCCCCCGGTCATTACTCGCCAGCCCCCACCTGCCCCCTCCTCTGGGCTGGCGGAGGGTGAGGTCCCTGTCAGCTGAGCTGTCCCCTCCTGCTGCTGTCAGTGGCACTGTGGAGTCATTTCCATCAGCATTTGTTGTTTTTTCCTTGTTTTTCTCCTGATGAGGTGTTGGAAAATTCCCCAAAGAGTCCAGGGGAGGGGGACACGCACGCAATTATCTGTGTCCCATGATGGAAACACGAGGGGCACCGATTTTCAGGGAGTCCAACCTGGAGGCCCATCTGAGCATTTTTCTGGGCAGTTTCTCTAAGAACCTGAGACTCAGCCTTCCCCCCCATGGTGGCTCTTCTTCATGCTGACCCCGACCTGTCCCTGCCTGACTCCTGAGGCCAGCCCACCTCCCCCTCCAGGCCACATCTGGCTCTAGACCAGGCTCCCACCATCCAACCCTCTTCTATCCCCTGCCCCCACCTCCTGCCCTCTGGCCCCATCTCATCCCCACCTCACCCTCACACTGGCTGTCAAGCCCTGAAACATCCAGCAACTGCCAATCCGATCACCCCACTCGCTGGTCCAGGGAGCCTCTGAGGGGAGCCCTCAGCTCCTTCCTGGGGCCCACCCGCCCCCTCAGTGCGGCCCCTCCCACCCCATGCTCTGTTCTGGCAGTGCCAAGGTGGGGTGCTCAGCCCCCCACACCTGAAACTGTACTCAGGGTGGTGCCCGGGCCTCCAGGGCCTGTCTCCGTCCTGTACCCCCAACTCTAGCTGCAGCTGACAGCCACCCCCAACACCACACCTGGGGAGAAAGCCCGGTATTCTGGGGTCCTGGCTCTGCAGCCCCCTCCCCCCCTCCCCAGCCTTGGTGTCCCCAGCTGTTGGAGGGGTCCGCCTCCAGGGTTGTCCCTGGCTTCAGTGCACATGTGAAGAAGTAGCCGTGAGTTCCTGTTGTGCGAGTTTCCTTCCCTGGTCGGTGCTCCCGGTGGGGTAGGCATGGGCCTCGTGAGAGCCCGTGTCAGATTGAGATTGTCCGTCTGCTCCCAAGGGCGCCTTTCAGAGGGCCGGCCGGCCTCTTGATCTTTGGTGTCGTCCAGTGTTTGGCAGAGTGCCGGCTAGAGCGGGTGCCGAGAGGAGAGATGCAGATTAAGGGATGCCACATCAGAACAGGCCAAAGCTGTGCCTGGGCTGTCTGCTGGGAGACGGAGTGACTGGGGCCTGCCGGGGAACCTCGCTGGAATCGGGGACCCCCGCCAGGGGATAAGCACATGAGGTCTGGCTCTTTTCTTCCCATAGAGCTAAGGTACATCGAATAGTTTGAAATCACCTATCTCGGGATCAAAATGGTTATCTCCCTTATTTGAAAAAATTATTTTTTAAAAAATTTAACCTTTTGGAAAAGAATCCCAAGAATTAAAAACTCCTGGATCGAATGGCAGCGTGAATGCCCGGGCTCCTGTCCATGTCCAAGTACAAGGTGGCTGCAGTGGGCCCTGGCTCCCCGGAGCAGGGCTGGTGTGGAGATTCGAGTTTCAAGGTCACGGCGTCGGCACACTTGAAACTCAGAGCTGTGTTCGTGCCAGAACTTTCCAGGCCCAGCGCTTCTCACCCACCAGCGTCATTGGCCTGTCATCTGCCGGTCATTGAGGCCCAGGCCTTGCAGGTTCGCCGTCCTCGCTCCTCGGGGTTCGGCTGATCTCTGCTTCCTGGCTGCTTTCAGAGACGCCCCCACCGTCCCCAAGAGGAGGCCAAGTGGTCGCTTCTCCCTCACCCCCCATGGAGCCTCACAGACTCAGTCCTGGGGAGTCGCCGGAACTCGTTCTGTGCCCCCAAACTGATGTGTCCGTCGCTTGCTTCGGTTCCCTACAGGGGCCAGAGTGGCTAGTTTCTCTGAGGTCCGAGGTGGCGTTTAAGATCAGACCCTGCTTCTCAGGTGCATGTGGCCCCTTCCAGACCAGGAGTCAGGGCCATGGCGTGCATGTCCCCTCCCGACCCCCAACCAAGACACAGGCTTCCGGCTTTTTCTGGTTTTCACATGCACAGCAGGTGTCTCCCCCCATGCATCCTCGCACAGCATTTCCCCACACCCCCACCCACCTGTGATGGGCCTCCCCGTGTCCCCTGCGCCCCACCCAAGCTGGCAGGTTGTGGCCCTGGGGCCGTGTAACCCCAACTCTGTTTTTCCTTTGCAGTTTGGCAATGAGGAGCAGCAGCTGGCGTGGGCCAAGCGGGAGAGCGAGAAGGCCGAGCAGGAGAGGCTGGCACGGCTGCGACGGCAGGAGCAGGAGGACCTGGAGCTGGCCATCGCGCTCAGCAAGGCCGACATGCCCGCCGCCTAGGCGCGGGCGGGACGGCAGGGCGGTGCCACAGGAGAAAACTCAGAAGTCTGTACACACACACTCACTCTTAGCGGTCCCTGCTCCATGTCGTGACACGTCACAGCCGTGTTATGTCAAGAACTCGCTGCCCACAGGGCCTCAGGCTCTGGGGGGCTCGCCTGGGGCTAGTGAACGCAGCTCACCTGGCGGAGGGGCCCGAGAGGTGCAGGCTACCGCTGCCGCGGATCCGCCTCTGCTGTGACATCCCTGTGCAAGGGCAGCAGCAGCTCTTCCTCCCGCCTGGGTCAGCAGAGGGAGCACGGTGTCTCTGCCCTCCATCCCTGCTCATAGCCCAGCGTGTGCCAGCACCCAGCGCGCACCCACTCCGGCACCTCCCCACACCCTCCCTTCTGAGACAGACACCCCGCGATGTATGCATTCGTTGTATAAAAATTAAGTTTGAATGATTAATATAAAATATTTTAATACAAAACACAAGAATCTTGTTTTCCCTTTCATTTAAACACTGTTTTCCTTGCACTGACATTCACACATGGTGTCACAGAGCCAGACCAGCCCCCCAGCAAGGGGAGGACGAGGGGGAGCATTCCTGTTTCAATCCTGAGTGTTTGAGTAGACTCGGGCCACAAAGAAGGCCAGTTTTGGAAGTTTTCAGGGGTCACCGTGTCCCTCCAGGACACACTGAGTTTCTGCAGTGGTTGTCTGTGGCCTCATAACCAGTGGAGGCGGCCCTTTGTCACCGCTTTGCAGTTTGGAGAGATCCCTGCATACGGTTCACTGAGGCTTCATCTGCATGAGGGGCGAGGCCGTGGGGCGCTCTTCACACCGTGAATCCGTACTTGGAATCAGGCGGTGGGGAGAGCTATCCACTGGGACACAGCTGAATTCCCCTAGAATATTCCAGAAGCTTGGACATAACTGTGGGACGGCCTCAGGAGTTGTGGAAAACATTGCAGATGTCCCCCCCACTTTGCTTCTCACTGTCCCCAGGTAGACGGGACATCCCAGGCCGACTTCCCTGAGGTACAGTTGATAAAAACTTGTGAGGTGTTTCTGGCTAGCACCTGAGCGGCCTGGGCACAGCCTTTGTCCAGAGAAGCGAAGTAGACGACATCTGACCTCCGAGACGTGCAGGTTCTGTGTCTGTTCTGTGTCTCTGGTCAAGGTCTTTGCCTTACCCCCGCCTGCCTCGAGGGCAGGGCTGTCGACCAGCCCCAACCTGCACGCTGGCTCCCAGCTGCCCGACTCCAGGTACTTTATGCCAGCCAGGGGATAGTTCTGAGACATACGTTTATTTGTTTGCTTGTTTTTGCATTTTAATAAACTATTTTTTAAACCAGTTTTAGATTTGCAGAAAAATCACAAAGACAATACAAAGAGTTGCCATACATAAGCCCCTCAACACAATTGCCCCTATTTTTTAACATCTTAAAGTAGTATGGTACATTTATTATGATTAGTGAAGCAGTATTGAGACATTTTATTAACTAAAGCCCCTACATTATTCAGATCTCCTCAGTTTCCCCTAGTGTCCTTTTTCTGTCCCAGGATCCCACGCGACATTTGGTTACCGCGTCTCCGTAGGCTCCTCTGGGCTGAGATGGTTTCTTGGACATTCTTGGTTTTGATGAGCTTGACAGTTTTGAGCAGAGCTGGGCAGGTGTTTTGTAGGACGCCCCCAGTTGGAATCTGTCTGGTGTTTTCCTCGTGGTTGGACTGGGGTGACGGGTTTAGGGAGGAGGAGCACAGAGGGGAAGCGCCCTTCTCGTCACACAGTGTCCAGGGCACATGCCATCCACGCGACTTCACTGTGATGTTGACCCTGATCACCTGGAGATAAATTTATTTTTGAAAGACAGCTTTTCAGACCCAGATATTTTGTTATATACATTCGTCTCCGGGTGATAATCCATCGGGCTGAGAGTAAGCCACGAGTTGAGGTTTATGGCAGATTGAGGGGAGTGTGGACACCAGCTGGGCTTGGAATCTCCCTTTTCCAGGTGATGGAAGAGGCGCCCTGAGGTCCCGGACGGGCTGGAATTTCCTGGTGCCCGAGAGACGGCCGCGCTTTTCTGTGGTCAGCATCGCTGTTGGTCTGGAGCTGGGGCCTGCTGTAGGAAGGCTTGTGGAAATCTTAATCCTGAGATGACCCCTACTCCACTCTGGAAGAGTGAGCAGCTTCTGGAACGTGGCCGGAGGTGAGTCCTAAGGCTTCCTCCTCCTGTGGAGGAACCATCAGAATAAATCCAAAAGCCCCATGCTGCATGCCCCAACCGTCACTCCCTTTGGGGAGGCGCCATGTCACCTCCCCTGTGAGGTGGTCCCAGCCCCCCACTGGAACACGAGACCCACACTCTCTATTTGGTGAAACCCTCACAGTTTCCAGAATGATTCAACTTCCACCATTTTGTTTTAACCTCAGAGCCACCTTGTAGGTAAGGAAGGTGGAGTGTTTGCCCATTTTCCTGATGGGAAAACTGAGGCTCCATGTGTGCACTCGTTTGCCCAGAGCCCCAAAGCCAGCCAGTGCTGGTGGCTCAGCATTTTGCTGGCCTTAAAAAAGGTGTATTTCTTGCTGGCTGCTGCCTCTTTACATATCACTGTACCTAGAAAAGGTACAGAAAGGGTCTCTTCATGTCTTAGAAACGGAAGACCCTGAGTTGACTTAGGCGTGCTGACCCAGGGGGTGGGGTGGGCGCTGTAGGAATCCACACACCCGTGAATGTGCATTTGTGTGTTTTCCTCGTTCGGTTTGGTGGAGGCTGTCTGTGACTTCTTCATCTGTTTCTCAGAGGTTCGCAGACCCCTCAAAAAAAGATTACGAGCCAGTTTTAAATCCTGTTTCCTTCTACTCCAGGCTCACACACACACCTGGAGACACTCACACAGACATGCACACACACCCCTGCTGTATAAATAATCAGCCTCAAATCCACCCATCTGTGCCACTCCCACAGGCTCTTTCTCCCTCTTCCTTGGCAGAGAACGCTCACACCGTTCCCTGAAAAACAGACGATCCAGTTTGAAAAACTTTATTATGAAAATCTCCAAACATAACAGCAGCGAGAACCGTGCGGCAAACTCCCACACACCCCACCGCCCAGCGGCGGCTCCCGACCGGCTCTTGCCGCCGTCGCTCCTCCGACGCTTGTCTTGCCCTTCTCTTCGCAAATGTGCTTTGAAGCAATGCAGTCGTGCCGTCGTTTCAGCCTTCCACGTTCAAGCCCACGTCGCTAAGAAGTGTGGGCCCCTTCCTGCATCCCCGCCGTGCCACGACCACACCTAACGACGAGGAGAGTGACACCTCCTCCTCTCGGGCACGTCTCTCAGGTGAGCAGCAGCTGAGGATTTTGCAACATGGTTGATTTACCATCCTGATGGTTGGAAGCCTTTGTCCCCTTAGGAGGTGACAACCTCTGGCTCCCACCCGTGGCAGCTGGTTCCCCACCCTCTTGATGTCGAGAGACTCAGCTGCCGATGCACTTGGACCAGAACCCATGGGCCCAGGTTGCCTGATCCGGGCAACATTTTGTAAAAGGATGACTGATTATCTACAACTTGCTCCAAGTAAATAAAATCGCATCTTCAAAGCCTATTTCCTTGCAGAGGACGTTCGAGTCCTGGACAGTTGTGGAAAGCTATTTTTAAAACAGGAAGCGTCTGAGAAACAAAGAACCTGCCTCTTGAAATAATGGAGTAAATATTTCTGCCCCCTTATCAGATCTGCTTCTTTTCAAACATGGTCCTTTTTTTTATTCCCAAAATTTTCCCCAGTAAAAGTTACCAGGAGGTGTACAAATTGTATCATGAGCTGTTGTTGGAAAAATAGAAAGGGAAATGGAAGCCTGATCCTTATCGCATGTGTGTTCCACAGAAGTTGTGGCATGGGCCTGCACGGAGCATGTTTACTTCCCTGGGGCTCTGGGTGCCTCTTTGATTTGCTCTCCGGTGGCCGTGCTGGGTGCACTCCATGTCACGACCTTGGGCGCGCCGCCTGACCACTCTGGGCCTCAGTTTCCTCATTGGGTCAAGGTGCTTGGACCAGACCACCAGTGAAGACCATTATAGCTCTCAAAGTCCTTAAGATTATTATTTGAATCTCTAAAAAGGCACATGTTTAGGATTTCAGGTTACATAAAAGAAGAAAATGCAATAGATGTCATTCTGCTAGCCTCATCTTTCCTTAAAGTATTTTGTCCACGTACAGACAACAGTATTCTATTATAATCATCAGACTTGCTAAGAGACTAGAACTTAATCATTCCAACCCCTAAAAAGAAGTGATAATTATGTAACATGATAGAGGTGCTAATTACTGCTACCACGGCACTCATATTACAATATATAATGTATCAAATTCACATGTTGTGCACCTTAAATTTGCACAATGTTGTATGTCAAATACATTTCAATAAAATAATTTTTTTCCAAGGCCGGCCCGGTGGCCTAGTGGTTAAGTTCTTGAGCTCTGCTTCGGCAGCCTGGGGGTCGCACGTTCAAGTTCCGGGTGTGGACCGACCCACCACTCATCAAGCGGTGCTTGGCAGCATCCCACATACAAAATGGAGGAAGATGGGCACGGATGTTAGCTCAGAGCCAATCTTCCTCACAAAAAAAAAAAAATTTTTTTCCATGCATAAAAAATTTTAAAAAATATTTTGTCCACTCTTGATAAGCATTTGATAGCTAAGGGAGAAATACCCATTTAAATAATACTGGTTTAATATAACAATATATTATAAATCAATAATATATATAATTATATCATATCAATATATGATAATATGTAATATAGAAATAATATATATCTTATAAACTTAAGAAACACTAGTGTATTATAAGAAACCCCAGTTTAATAAATGAGCAATTCTGTGACCTTCCAGTGGTTTTCCTACGCTAACCTTCAACGCTGGCAGGAGAGAGCCCTTCCTGAGGACCAGAAGCGCACGGGCGTTTGAGATAGTGCTCTGCAATGAGTGTTGTTTCTTTGTACTCAACACAAAG